CCTGGACTTCAGCCTGCCTTTCTTTATTCGTCAGAATGGAAGGTCTTCCCTGCCTCATCTCTGGGGTCTTCCTGACCTTCCTCAAAACACTTACCTTCGCTAAAAACAAGGTTGTATTATGTGCAGTAGAATTCTCATAATTTTGCTGGAAAGTTTCAATGATTTGGCAAGATGTCTATATTAAACCTGATCCTAAAAATCATCCCCCCACCCATGGCACAAGCACATAAAAAAGTACTATGTTTTTGAAAGCACAGTAGTGCATTAGTATCTTACTGAAAGCACACTGCTTGACAGGGCAGATTTAACCGTGCCTTGGCTGGAAAACACACACACACACACACACACACACACACACACACACGAACTGGAGCCCTCTTAGCAAGGCTTTTTTAAAAAATATATATTAAACCTACCTCCATATATGGGTACTCATGGACTTCCAAAGTAAAAATTAAATCTGCCTTGGAAGAAGGACAGACAGAATGCTCCCAGAAAGAGATGACAGGACTTTGTCCCATCTGTTTCAGCATGTTAATAGGGGGGACCAGTCCCTGGAGAAGGACCTCATGGTTGGTAAAGTTGAAGGTTCATGAAATAGAGGAAGAACCTCATTGAGATGAATTGACACATGGCATTAAAAATAGGGATTATGCGGAGGATGCAAGAGTGGGCAGTGTTTCATTTGGTTGCACACTGGGCCCCTATGAGATGGAATCAATTCAGTAACACCTCTCAATAGCAAAGCATTGTCAATTCCACCATCCCTGGCAGGGTGACCACTCCTCAGGTCTGGTGGAAATGATTCCAGGATTTAGGACTCCTGAGTCTTATATCTGATGCTATCCTTTATGAGCTTTATGCACCTCTAATAACAGATGACTCCTCCTCCTGGGACTCAATTCTCCATCCATGAAATGACTGGGTTATAAAATGAATATATTCCTACTAAAAGTATTATCGGGGGATTCAGTGAGTTCACTGTCCTATTTTGACCCAAAACCTAGATAAAGAGAGATTCTTCCTAAATACTGCTGGTTCTTAGAATTGTTTTCCCTTGTGCACCTGCCTTCTGCTTCCCTGGCCCTTTGATGTTTACTCATTCATCTTTCTCGGACTTCATCTTCTAACTGCCTTTTGTTCTACAGCTTCATTCAACTCTTATAACAAGGGGAGGCTTTCAAACCCCACAGATATCATAACCTTTGCCATTTCTTCATTTCCTCCTTTGTGATTTTCTCCATCCATGACCTCGTCTCTCTCAGAGCCATCTTCCCCGCCCCACCCTCCCGGCGCCCCACTTGCTCTTTCTCATGAAATCCTAAGATGCTAGACTATAGCCCAGGTAAAGAAGATTAAACAATAAAAACCTTATATTCATATAGAAGCAAAAAATAGCATGCTGTCTTCCAAAGCCCAGCCCCGGTCTATTCCTCTGGAGGCAGCTGTGAATCTAGACCTACACCCAGATGTCCTTTTCTGATTAGCATCCCCACACTGATTTGGTGTCTTGCCATTCTCTGTGTCCTGCTTTTCTCAGCTTGTCTGTGTTACTATGTGGAACCTCCACCAGGAGAGGGGGGCCTTTAGCCTTTTTAGAGAAGGCAAAAGAGCTCTGGCTTTTCTTCGTGAGAGCGGCTTTTTTTCACTCTTGTGGATATGGAATATTCACAGCTCTTTAGCTTTGGATAACAGATAGGAAAACAAAAACAGCAGCGATTCTCCTTTCTCTGAGAATGTCCTCTCTTCCTGCCCTCTTTATTGGAAGATTCCACTGCTGCCAGAAGTCTCGATTCTACTTGTGCTTCCTCACCTGCCTGCTTGAACTTCAGTAATCTTTCTGGCAAGCTACCCCCCACACACACACATACACACCATTTGCAGTCCCAGGTTTATTACAGGGGCTATGATTGTTTTCTTTTGCTCCGGAAGTGTGTGTATGTGTGCGTCTGTGAGCTTGAAAGCATTGTCCTATAGATATTTTTATAACCTGAAGCAATTACAGCTGTCAGCACGGAGACAAGCTGTGACAAGTTGATTTATGTGTACAGTATATGAGGATGCAAGAAGGAAGGGAGGAGGAGCGGGCGATAGGGGGAATAAGGTGGAGGTGGGTGCTCATTAGGAATCTGCCTTTCAAGAGGCAGAAAGGAAGTAAGAACACAAATAATGAAATTATTCTGACTGTCGTCCCTTTTTCAGTAGCTCAGCTATGCTGGGAAAAAAGAAAAGAACCCTAGAAGTGTTCATAAAGCAAGAGACAGGCTACAAGATCTGCCACTAAGTATTTGATTATATTTGGGCATGAGGGGTGGGCAGGGAGCTGACATGATTTGGATCTTTAGCTATTTGTGTACTTCAGTAACAGGCTTAATAGAATGGATTGTATCTTGCCAATTGTGTGGGTATCTCTGACCTTTGACCAAGGTCTAAACTTGCCTCTTTGGATCAAGTTTGGATCCCTGGGCCCACAAAGCAAGTGCAAAGTTGCAATTGGCTTTTCTTCTTCACCCTCGGCATTACCTGTGCTCTGCTAGCAACTGCTGTGTTGCTACAATTCAGCTTCCTCTCTTCACCACCAGAGACAAAGACAGTTTGATTGTCTCAGAGCAACTGCGGGCACAATGGTATATAAACTGAACATCTGAAAGATCCCATAAGGAGAATTATTTTTCCACCCAGCTATAATAATGAAGCCGTGGTAGACAAAATGTATTAATAAAGTATCTTCCATCTTAAATGGATTTCTAAGTATTTTAGTGTAGAGTTAATCATATATGTAGATCCCACAGGAAGGCCTGTTGCCATTACTCATATATCTAGATGCAAAAAATTAATGGTCATTTATACTTACCTGGGAATTAAGCACAAGGGCCAGAATTAGAATTGAAAATGAAAAGAATTGCCCCTGCTATTCTCAGAAAGCCCAGAATGAGTATCCACTTTCACAATGACTAGCATTTATTTCTCTTGGGATTTGAGGAAAGAGCCCTGGTAGCAGAGTGGGTTGCAAATTGGGTTGTAAACCACAAGGTCAGCAGTTCAAAACCACTAGCTGCTCTGAGGGAGAAAGATAAGGTTTTTCTGCCCCTGCAAACATTTAAAGCCTAGGAAGCCACAGGGACCATTCTATTCTGTCCTAAAGGGTCACCAAGAGTTGGAAATGGCTTGGCGACAATGAGTGAATGAGAGGATTTGGGCAAAAAGGAACCCCAAGTTCAACAGACAAAATAGAATCCCATCTGAACTTTGTTAAGTCATTTGAGCTCCTATTCTACAATTCCCCTGGTAACATAGGTGATCTGTTCACAATAGAATGGTGGTAATAAAGTTTATGCTTTCTCCCATGCTTTCAAAAATAGAAACAAGATGGGTATCATTAAGCATTTTAAAAAGATATCAGAGAAGATGAAGTAAAACCTGGCTTCCTGTTCAATTAATGTAAAGTATCTTCATATAACATTGCTCAGCTCTTTATGGCTGACCACCTACTAAAATGGGAGGAAGGCCTGACCAGTTACCTAGATGCTGGCGTCCATATCCCCAAATCCATTCACCTGGGCAGGGATTGGGGGAGGAGGAGGCAGAAATATTGGTTGTGTCTCTAATATGTTGGCTACATGCCTGAGATTGTATCTACTGACAAGGCATGAGGACTTCCGTGGCACCTCCCTTGTAATCTGTGCGCTTTGGGTTCTGGATGGCATGGAGGTGCAGACTTCTACACCAGTTTGGGGTGTTGTTGTCTGGTTGGACAGAAGGGAAAATCTCATGGGGAAGAATGAAGTCGGTAGTCTCCTTTGCCCTAGGGAGCGTTGGGTCAGTACTAGAAGCTTAAACGCAAGAGTCTCTGTGAAGACAGGCAATAGCTGAGCACCACCACTCCACTTCAGACTGGGCTGCTTTACGCTTCCCCTGCTGAGGCCCAGCAAACAGAAGGCTTTGCCTTTGTGGGAGCTGAAGTTTGGGGCGCCATAACAAAGCAGAGGAGAAAGGAGCTGGCAAGGACCAGGGCAGAGGCAAATCCAAGGTCCCTTTCAAGAATCCAGAGCCACACCTCTTCCAGATGAAACCAACTCTCCCAGAGTGCCAAGACCACACCTGGGTGTCCAGTGTAGAAATAATGTAAGTGGCGACCACTCCTCCATCGCAGTGAGCTCTCTTGCTGGAACTAGCATCTTTTCATTCATCAAACTCAAGAACGAGAAACCCAAATGTAAGCCACATTTGTGCGTGACTCTGCCAGTTTCTCACACGGAGAGCTTCCTGTGGTTTCGCATGTTTTCTATATGGAACCTATTTAAAAGGGTGTAGGCTCAGTCTTTGGTATTGAAAGTTTTGAGAGGCTGGTAGAATGCTGGGGGTGGGGGTGGGGCGACTGCACTACTAAATAAGTGCACATGTGATTATTTGAAAACCTTTCCAACACCCGAGTTTACTCTAAATGCTAATAGAATCTACCTAGTCAATACAAAGTGCATGCCGCAGGGGTTCGTTTTCCTGGCTAATTAGTTCTTGGCCATCATGATAATGTCTCGGATCTGTTAGGGATGTGGGGTAACTGCGTGTTCATTTAGAAGTGGCAGCTCTGACTGAGAGGGAACTGGTTAAGGCCTGGCTGGGCGCCGGCGCGGTGGGGGTTAAGTGGGAGCGGGGTGCGCGGCGCACACTGGTGCAGGTTCCGGTGCTGTGTCTGCACCGGGCGGGCGCGCGCGCTCCGGGGTCCGCGGCGGCACGGAGTGGTGGTCAGTGATGGAGCTGCTGCCATGACAACCCTGGCAGTCGGTGCCAGTGC